GCTTTGGGTGGTGGACACAGTCCTCCAGGTACCAGGCTGTGCAGATTCTGTGGATGAAGACTCATCTGCAGCCTCCTTGTTCCAGGGAGCACCAGCACTTCCAGGAGGCTCCCAGTCAATCAGTTAAAATGTTCCTGACATCAGAGCTGAAAGACCTCCTTCCTTGTCACTGGGCTTTTGCTGACTTAAGAGCATGGGCTGAATGTCACGCTGAAGCCCTCTCAATAGACATCCACTGATATTTCCATTGAACTAAAATGTCTTATACCCTGTTGGTTTTAGTCTGATCAAATTGACTAACAAGTCGGAGTCTTCTGTTGGTTGAAGTGAATTGTAATCAATATGTGATCCTCAAATAGTTTTACCATCCCTGCAGAATTTCTGTGTACTGTCTGGGCATCTGAGAAAGATGCTTTTTTAGACTGAACTCCTTGTCGTAAAGGTAGTTCTGGACAGTCTCTGCAGATCAGGACTGGGTGACTTGAGAAGATAACACTACCATGTTTGTGCTAAGGACAGAAGATACTGATACCCAAGGCTGTCGATTTAGCACCTTTTGAAAAGCTTTAACATTCCTTTTAAAACACAGTTAAAGGAAGAGAAAAGCAAGGTTTTGATGAAAACAATGTTAAAAAAAGCAGCACTTACTGGTTAGAAGATAAAATATGTCATCAAGCTTTCAAGAATAAGCACTTAATTTAACTAAAGACTACTACAAGCCTCATTCTTAATGTGCCTGATTTGCATAAAATCTTTTTTTTCCAACTACCTGTTGCAGTGCACATCTAAAATGGGGAAGCACAGTCCTCCCATCAAAGCTCAACTTGTCAAGCCAACACTACAGATGCCTGTTTGTAATGTGATTTTCCAGTCTCAAAGGTCATTAGGCACATACATACCCTGTGGGAGATCATGTGTATTTTAAAATTACCTTTCAAAGAGTCATAAATGAGCAGAGTTTCTCTCAGGAAGCAGTGGTAGCGATTCTCAGAATCAATTCACCTGCAGCTCTCGAGGTGGCTTTTTTTTCAGTGTGTGCTAATTCAGCTTCACTCAGAGGTTGCTCCTTTGGAGTCAGTCTCCTGAGTGTTTTCTGGATCAAGTTCTCCACATGATAACCTTCCTGCAAATTCCACCTGAGCTCTGTGCATCAGAATGCTTTCACACACTGCTACCAGCAGTTGGAGATTAGGCAGGCCAAATTTCTTCCCCACTTGTAGGTGATGTGACCTCAGGAGGCAGTGCTGTGTGGTGCACACAGAACAGGGAGAAGTTGCAGGTTGCTGCTCTCCAGAGACCAGCACTTTCTAGCAGACCTAGCAAGCATAAATAATCTGTCAAAGCTCCCTTCTCCGCTGCAGGGACAGTGATGTGGCCGGAGGGGTCTGATCAGGGCAGTGCTCTGGCCAGGTAACGGGGGCTTATGGCCGCACTTCAACTCACAAGGTGGTCTTGGCAGATGGATCCTTCAGAGCGGGGTTAGAAACGGGTCTGAGGGTCACTGCCTTGGCACTCCAGAGAAAAAGGAGTTTGTGGCTGGAAGAACACCTTATCAGGTAGCACTGCAGTCGTGGGGAGGGGTAATCTGACAAGGTACATTTTCTTGCAAGTAGATACAGTTACTGAGCCAAAGCTAAGAGCTCCTCCTAACGATAGGGTTCATTAGTCCTCTCACTGCTGCCCCAGTGGGGCTGGGGGCTACCCCAGCACAGGCAAAACTGTCTCACAGGAGCAGTTGGTCTCAGTGGGAGCAGAATAAGATACCCAGGTAAAAATGCTGCTTTGCTTGTAAATAGTCCATAATAAAAGTGCTTTATTAATATAGCACTGATTACTAGCACTAGCATATTTTACTACTGTTACAATACTATACTAGTCATTATACGCTAATTATAAATATGCTCATTTGTTAAAGACTTTAAATGGAGCAAAATAATAACTACTGGAAAGCTGTTACAGCAGTTAATAATCCTCTCCGTTTAAACCTCCTTGTTACTTGAACTTCCTCGTTCCTAGTCTTTTCTCAGGTAAGCCCCTGGAGATACTTTGACAAACAAGGTGAGAAATAATGTGCTGTCCTCCAGCCTGCCAGTAACTAAAAGGGATCAGTCCAAGAGATACCAGTCAGGCATCTTTGATCAGAGTGGTGTGATCTTTAACAAACAGGTCAAGGAAGCATCAATATTTTCTCTCTAAACCTCAGATTGCCATTGACCCCAGTTTATTCCAAAATTTGGTGGCAAAAACATTAGGGGGTATGAAATTTGTGGCCTCCTACAGCTTTCCCAGTCCTCATGGATCCCACTCCAAGCACATTTGACCCCTGCTCAACTTCACTAGGCTGCAATCCAGGTACCAGTCTGATTCAGATTTGGTATTTGTAGCTCCAGAATTTTAACTAGCACTGTTTGACAGAAGATATCCCTACCTACAAAATTTAATGGTTTTTAAATTAAGGTTTTTAGAGGGGCTGAAATGTAGGAAAGGGAGATTTTATCTTGGTTGTAGTTTCGGTAAAGCCTATGAGAAAGCTTTTAAGAGTGGCAGTTTCACTAGAACATTTTAAACCAAAGTTCGTAATCTGGATTTGTAAAACAGCAGTGTTTGCAGGTAGCATCGACATTTGCTATAATAAACTAAGATTAAAGATACACATCTGATTTTCTCTTTACACTTTTAATTGCATTGTACTTTTAACAGGATTTTGTACACAAAGTCTTTAGTGATACAGCTCATTATCCTCTTTCCCTGCCCCCTTACCTTTAGAAGAGTGCAGAAGGGAGAATTTAGGAAAGTAATGACCTATTTTATTATATAATCACAGGAATTGGAAGGTGGGAAAGGAGAAAAGGACTCTAGATTAAGGGTTAGGCTTGATTGCTGAAATTATTTTAACTACTTTTTAATTGGCAAGCTGTTGAGTTGTTGTCATCAGTGAAGAGTGCATCAACAAGCAGTATCTAAAGAGGATTCAATTGAGAAATGGAGCTCACAAGCTCTGTAGCTATCATCCTTACAGTGAAGAGTTAAGACTAAGTGACTGGATCACAAGAATACATCATACAAGGAATATCAAGGGTGGGGTTTGGAGTTAATAGTCTTTGTTGCGTTATGGTTTTTTCTCTGAAGAGGTTATGGAGGCAGGGGAGGAGACATTTGCACAGCCTCCAGCTACCCTGCTTTTGGGGCTATGCAGACTGAGGTACTGATCTCTGTCTGAAGACCTTTTCCATACAGATGCAAGACATACAGGTGAATCTCCAGGGCTTGCTTTGCTGTCAGTCCCTGTTAATAGACTCAGAAGGTCCTGTGCAGTTTATAGACCTCTCATCTAGTAGTGGGCACCTCTGTTGCAGTCGCATGTAAAACATCTTTGTATTCCCCTGATGCTGTGTTTAAAGGGTGGGGGTAGAACAAGTTGTTAAAAGATGAAGAAATTGAAAGCTCCCCTAACTGCTGTATTATCTACCTGATATTCTCCAAATGCTAGTCATTAATTACTAATGCCTTGAAAATCAGAGCAGTTATCTGATCCAAATTATGTTACATCTCTGAGCCAGAGTATTTCCATTATCTTATCATTTCCCATTCAAACAATTCTTCCTTCTCCGCAGTTGTTAAAGGCTCAGACCTCACTCTGTTTCCTCTCATTTGGACCTGTTACCCACACAAGGATATTTCTACTCCATGTCTGTCCTGTCTTCACATTGGTGAAAATTGGTGTGGGTTTACAGAGTAATTATTACAGACTTACAAATTTGTCCCTCCAGCTCCCCACAGAATTACATGTATGCATCTGATGGCAGAACGTGGCCAATGTAAACCGTAACTTTCTTTACCAGTTGGTGGTCACATGCTTAGGGAAGGATTGTACTTGGTTTAGGACTTAGGCTGCCCTTGCAGTGCTTGCACCTACAGACCTCCCTGTGAACTGGGCAGGAGAGTTCACAGTCACAGCACACCCCAAAGCCAAGCTATCAACTAAAATAATTCCGTTTGTACACCAGTGATAACTTGGCCCCATGGTGGCAAGGCAGGGTAAGTTTCTGGAATCGCTGATAAGGCTGGTCCTATTGAGCTGTGTATTCAGAAATGATGAGGTTTATTTCCTGGCACATTTGTTCTTCACTTATGTATATTTTCATGCCTGCCAGCTCTCTGAAATCTAGACATCGAGTGCTGGGGGCAGGCTAGATGCAATTTTTCATGCTGTTGACACTAATTGGATGAACAGACCTTCTCAGAAGGGGCAGTGTAGGAAATACGTATGGAAAAATGACAAAATAAGGAGTTTCACAGCTAAATAAAGACAAGTGGCTGAAAATGGTTTTTACAGCTTTGGCTTTCATATGTTTCATTTGGGAATCTAAAACCATTTCGTACAACAACTAACAAATTAAGATTCACAACACCTTTCTGAAGAAGATAATTGCTCCTGTCTTACAGATGGAGGAACAGAGGTATTGAGGCTATCATTTGAAAATATGTCCCCTGTTTTTCAAGTTCCCAGATTGAGATACGTTTAAACCTAATTCTCAGAAGCATTAAATACCTCCATTTATATTCATTCATTCGGCATTGTTTGTGCATAGTCTCTGGAAATCAGATGTGTTCCCTCCTAACTTGAATGGTCAAAATAACAAGGTGATGTGTCAAAGAACACAGAGCAACTGCAAGGCCAAACTGACTGGTACTGGGACCCGTGTCCCCTCATGCCACATCCCCTTTTTACTCACTGAGTATCTTCCTTGGATTCCTAGACAAAAGGAAAATCATGTTCTTCTTACTTGGTTTTCCTCTGCTCTCTCAAACAATTGGATGTTACAGCAATGATATTGTTTGGGTTATTGATCAGTATAGTCATTTTACCTTGTCTTTCTCCCATCAAGAAATTGTCTTCAGGTTTTTGTGATTAAATTTCTTATTGTAGAACTAGCATGGAAATGCAGTGAGAATCGTTTGTAACACCTGATCTTCCCCCGTTGTTTTGGTTTTTTCAGCATACAACAGTTTTGCCCTTTGTATTAATCGAGATGAGAACAACACATCATCAGTATCCCAGCAGGAGCTGTGGACTGGCTGCAGTGTGCACCTTCGCTGTTGGCTATATTTTATGGTAAGGGCTGTACATGCTTTGTTTTCATATTGTATTGGGGGTTTTGTACTGCTAAATTTGGGCACATATTTCATTATGGATATAATCACTAACAGATTCACGCTGCATGCCTCGTTTGGTCCAAGACCTGGGCTTTGTCTGGTTTCCCCAGATGCTTATATTTTTAGAAAGTATATGCCAAACCTCACACAACAGGAATTTGTTGAACAATCCCATGTAAGCAGTGGCCTTTCCAAGGCTACATTTTTCAACCTTTTTTCAAGCTAAATGTTTTTCTTGGATCTTAGTTTTATTGCTTAGGGTTTTTGTTCTATCAAATAAAATTGAGAATAGGCAAATGATTTCCTGCATCAGTACTGAAGCGGCAACAGAAAAGATAGAACACTGTCCTTTTTCTTTACTAGTTCATAAATTCTTTCTGTAAAATTGATTACAGAATAAGCCAGTAATCCAAACACCCTGAAGTTTGTTTTTAAAAATGCAAATGTTTGTGAAAAATTAAACTAAAACAGAAATAAGATTTCTTACACAACATTAAATTAAGTCTTTGGGCAGTTTCTATTCAAGCACCTGACTTAACATGACATAGTTGATTTACTCTGGTCATTCTAGTATTTTATTTTTCACTAAACCTTTGTTTTATTTACAATGCTCCTGAGATACCATATATCCTTTATCCTTTCTGCAAACATTTCATGACCCCCTGTTTACTTCTCATGTTCTTTCTTCTCACCTCACAAAATGCTTCCCTCAGCTAAGAGAATATTTTCCAAAATTGTGGATAATGCTTTTTCCAACAGTTAGGTGAGATGAAACTAATGAAAGACAAACATGGGCTCAAGACACTTCTGTCATACTGCTTCAACTAAGCAACTTGCCCCTTCGGTCCAATGAAAGAGAGGCCATTATTCGTACATGTATACGCTCACAGAGTGATCATAAAATGCTATAGTAATCCAGCTGAAGTGGGATGTTGTGTCCCAGGACAACAGTCACATTCTGCCCTTTGCTTTTATAAACATACATATCCTTCTTAAAAAAGAATATTTGTAATTGTAAGATAAGGACAGCCTCATGCAAAAAGGCACATAATGATTCCTTCAGGAGGAAGTATATTTTTTTTAAACTACATATAATAATGCATAACTGTGATATTTCTCAACCTTCCTCTGAAGGGTGCCTAGAGACAGGTTGGCAGAGGTACTGTACCTGTGATCTGACCTCTTGTGGCAACTGCTGTTTTCTCAAAAATCATCTGATTAGACACATGCAATAGTATTCAATGGGAATAGAAAATTGACACGATCCCATTCTGCAAGTGAAATAAAACCAGAAGTGTCTTAAAATCTTCTAAGAAGCTGTTATAGTATCAATGTGATACTCACATGGCTTGATCCTGCCTACGACAGTGCATCTACATCCTACACCTACAAGTATAAGGTAAGAGTAAATTGTAAGACAAGTAAACCAGGGGAAGAAGATCCTGCATTAAGAAATTAACTACTAAGCGAATACTTGGTTACAGCCTAGTGCTCTTTGCTTTTGCTCTTTATTGCTTTTGCCGGCATGCACATTATTTCCAAAATGGATAGAGCTACTCTTAAGTGACTCACCTTCTTCCACGTTGTGATTTCTCTAAAGATGATCTGACATAATTATTCAGCCTAAAAGGTCATCCTGCTAAATTCTGCACTTAAAGCCCATTTCACAGAATACCATAGAATAGAATACCAGGTTGGAAGGGACCTCAAGGATCATTCTACTCTTATGAAAGAATGTCTTTGGAGGACACTGGAGGCAGACACAAGCTACACTGTGCCATCATCTGGAAGTTCTACATGTCTTCAGCCTACTAGTGGTATTGAAGCCTCTATCCAAGATTTGGTTGAGGCTGCAAGCCAAATCTTGGCTCCATGATATCAATACAATATATCTCACTTTCACAGTTTGGGAAAATCTACTAGAAAGTATGAAAAGTGAGAATTTTTTCATCCCTCTCACTCAGAGTGTGCTTGCCTTTCACACCTGAGGTCCACTATCTTCCTGCTGCTAAGTCTGACCACATTGAAGTAGAGACCTTAGTCACTCTGAGGGTTTGGAATTACTTAATTTGGATTTGCTGCCCTTGTTGGTGTACCGTTTGACCCATGGAGGTTAGCAGAGTGCATTAAAATGAGACTACACATGCATATGGTCTAGTTACATACAGTCTGGTGGAACTTCCTTCCTTTGTACCTTTGGCTGTGCATGGATCGCCTGCTGGGGCTTAGTTCTTGGTTTAATGTCTTTTTACCTAGAAGTTAGGAATACACCACTTAAGAATTTGCCCTCACTGCATCATTTTTCCCTCAGCAGAGTATTTTCACTGCAACTCTCAGTATAAAGTGGAGACAGTTGCTAATCAGATGTCTACATTTTGCCCTTGAATTTTGAACTCTCTCCCCATCTCCGCTGAAACCTATTAACCATGCTACATGATTTGTGTATCATCTTGCACTTTGTACTGTAAAGGATCATACAGGAAGATATTGTTTAGGTTTGATTCTGTTAATGCATTTTTTCAACTTCAACTAGAGGAGAGTTTCTGGTTTATTTCATGTGTGGCTGAATCTTTCATATGTGAAAGAGGTGATGGTATAGTAAGCTTTTATTATATATATTTGATAAATGAGAAAACAGGCAAACAATTCTGAATAGAATCACTGAAGTTGGAGGAACATAGCTAAGTAACTTGATATCCCCTGATCATTATTCCTTTTTTTTTTTTTTTTTTTTTTTTTTTTTTTATTCTCTCCCTTCAGTCAGAGAGCATTTGAGTAGTCACACTTAGCTCATGTGCTCTCTGTGAGGGGGAACTCTTCCTTGCTCTTAAAGAACTGTGCCCAGGCAGAACATTCACAGACTTGCATTGCCTGTTGCAGACCATACATGGACTTTCAGGATCAAGGCCATGGGATAAGATGGGAAAGGCCAATTGGCTTTATTTAGCATGGCTTGTAAAGGTCACAATTTGTGTTGAATTGTTAAATCTAGACACTGCTAAGAAAACCCAAGAGCTTGCCAGTACTACCAGAAAGTACTGCCAGTGGGTGTATGGAGTTGGTTGTCAAGGAACAGAAAAGAGCCAGAAATGTGTTGCTCCTTGTAATAAGAATGACCTCATGGTAACTAATATCAGAGCCTAATATGTCCCTAAAATAAACTGAGACAAATATGTTTATTTAAAATGGTTTTCTTGTTCCCTCTGCTTTTGAGCACTTGAGGATGCCAAAAAACAGACCCTAAGAACCTGACTCCACTGCTCTAGTCATGCTGGGCTACGTGTTTGGGAGCAAAAGACTTGACCTGCTTTCTTGTTGCTGTCTCAGATCCACTAGGAGCTGCCTCCACATGTGCCAAGCTTGGACTTGATTCATTCCTTCATTTTTTGATAAAGCTATTTAAAGAGCTCAGGTGCCTTTAAACTTTCATTTGAAAATAAAGTTTCTCTTGAAGTGACTTTAGGAGAGTTCTGTAGATTTGCTAAGGGAGAGCATTTAGATAGAGTGATTTGTTGAATTCCTCTTGAACAAATTTAAGAAAGGAATGTACACTGAGAAGTTGGAATTAATTTGAGATCGATGCTGTCAGCCTTGCTCTGGGATTTCCACTAGCAATTCTCTATAGAAGGAGAGGAAGATCAGAGCAGATGTTGGCAAAGAGGTGAGGGTGTAGACTGCTGGGACAAACTTTGACATTGAGAAGGGAGGGCTGGAGAGGTAGAGTGTGAAGCTTGGTGGGAATTGACATCATGTCGATAAAGGGCAGGATTGAGAAACCACAATTGGTTGGTTGCTGGTGCCAGCGGAGCAGGAGAGACAGCGTGGCTGTGCTAGGGTTTGCTGAGGGTCTGTATGTAGGGAGGAGGTCACAAATGCTTTTGGAAGTGAGCACTGGGGACAGAGGTTCAGTAGAGATCAGAGGAAGCAGTGGTTGGGGAAAAAGTCCTTGAGGCAAGTAAAATAGATCAACTAGAGCCATGGATTAAAAGAGAAATGGGTAAGCAAATGTGCAGCTCACAGGTCAGCAGCTTGAAAGCTGAAATCATGCAAGTAAGTGAGAAAATCTGGGAGGGGGAGAGAGAGAGAGAGACAGGATTTGCAATCAGAGTGAAAGGCTGATGGAGAGGTGGGTGATAGATGAGACAATGCAGAGGAGGAGAAAAGAGTTGGAGCCAGAGCTACTCAGAACAGGAAAGAGTAGGAAGAAATAGAAGCAGCAGAAATAGGCCAGGAGAAGATTAGCGTCCCCTGTACCTGACCCAGAAGGAGGGTGGGAGAGCAGAAGTGTGTTCAGCAAGAGAAGGCTGCATGGATCCTCAGCCTGTTAGGTCTGACATAGTCATTATGGACTGTTAACTTTCTGGCTCTCCTCCACCTCCACATCCTCCAATGTTTCAGTCAAAGCAACAGTACAATCACAGATGACATGCATGGATAATACATTCTCATTTGCTTGTGCAGCTCCTTAAAATATAGCTCAAGAAGGCATAGCAACCATTACTATATTTAAAATGAAATATTATTTATTGAAATAGATGACTTCCAGAGAAGACAACACCTTGCAGCAAATGTGCAGTTTCTGTCATTCTAGCTACCTGTACATAAACACAAATTTCTGCTAAGCTTTTTTCATCCCAAAGGGTGCCAGCACCATGTCATGCTGAGTATCTTTTGCATGTGACATTATTTACAGCTGCAGTTTTCCAGAACTTGTCTTGTTCTGACTGCATAAGCCACTCCATATCAGTAGCACAGTCCTATGATCCACGTATTGTTCTGCACCACTCAGATCAATGGAGAAGAATCCAGTGTAAGAAACTGGAACAAGACTGGATGATTGCTGTTATTTCCTAACTGATGACAGTTTATTAAACTTACTTTTTAGGCTTTAAAATTTCTAAACAATGTGCATTCCTGGTTTAGGTGACTTAGGCCTGACTGGCTGGTATTATAAGCAGCCCAGCATCTGAATGTGGCTGAGATCTTAACTGTTCTGATTAGATGCAGAACAAGCTGGTCTATGTTTTCAGGGAGCAGAGGGGAGGAAAAAAATCATCAGGATTTATGAAAATGTGCCTCACATCAGTCAGTATTAGAATCCAAAAGTAGAACAGATTTAGTGTGGGTCATTGAGTTCCTGCCTTTGAAAGCACAGGGGTGGTTCCTACTCTATAACCACAAATGATTTGTTCCTTAAAGTTTTGAATGACTCAGCTACTGTATGCCCCATCACCTCCTTTGGGAGACATTCCACAATTTAATAGTTCTGGATAATGTTCTCACTTTTTGTGGAAAAGGAAGAGAGTGATGCTAGAAAAGATCATGAAATACAAGTGTAGAAAATGCCCGTGTTCTGTTGTTTGGTAAAGAGTAGCCACAAGAGGAACTGGCCTAGGATTTGTTCAGGACCAAAGATTCAGCCTTCCTTTCTGCCAGTCACTGGAATCCTGAATGGCACAAGAGATGTGGGAAAGGATTTTCTACTGCAAGACGTAACAACACAAGAACTGCCATAGTAGATCAGAGTAGTCATGTAAGGGGCTCTAGCTGTAGCAAAAGTCAGATGCTTCAGAAGAAGATTAGCAGGCAATTTTGGAATAACCAGCCTGTAAGGGAAATTTTCTTCCAAAACCTATGTCAAGAAGTAGATGCTTGGATCCTTCAGTCTTGATGATTTATATGCTTTGTACTCTTTGAATTTAAGCATAACATTCTTATTGCTCGTACAGTCTTCTGACTTAAGAAGCTTGTTGAGAGTTGCATGTTACAGCCCAGAGAAGAGGAGTGGACTAACTAGACTTCCACGCTTGTATACTTCAAAACTTTTTTGAATATCTTGATTTCAGTGATGTATCACTGAAAGATAGGGTAGAGCATTCCAGAGGTTAATTAGGCATCATGCAGAAAGATATTTCCATTATCAGATTTTAATTTCTTGTCTCTGAGATCTGTTGAAGTGCTGCTTATATTATGAGAAAGAGCACTGGGAGGTCTTTAGCCATTTTTTGACATGCATAATTATAATATTCTGTGTCCTCTCATTCATTGCTCTTGAAAACTTAGACAGCCCCTCATCTAGTAGTTCCTGTTCCCAGAACACATAGTACTGAGTGTTATTCAGCTGCAGATTTTGCTGAAGGACTCAACTCGGGCAGGAAATGGGTGGAGACTCTCAGAGCTCAGACCACTATGTGCCACCAAGCTGTGATGCAAACTCCTGTAACTGAAAGCAGCCATCATGAAGGAGCATCCGTTTTCTGAAACGTGTCTTCCATTGCAAAATCTTTCAGGTGTCATGCTTATCTACCATTATATCCATATGTTGAGCTTGCTTCCACCAGGACTAAGTTTTACAGGTGCTGTTGTAACAGCTGCAGTACTCAAAGCAACAGGCAGAGCGCGTGTAAACAAACCACAAAGTTCCAACAATTTTTTGTCGTTACTTTTTCTCATTAACAGAAGATCTAGAGCCAAAGAATAAATGTACATGTATCTTCTCTGCATAGTTTTCATTGCCTTCTGATGACTTTGATAGGAGAGATATACAACATCTCCTGTATACTAGAAGTGAAAAACAGCTACAAAGTCAAAATTTTGACAGATTTTTTAAAAAGAAGCAATATTGTGTGCCTTCAGATCACTTTTTCTGATTTTCTACACCAGCTGGTTGAAAATTTCTGAAAATCACCACTTTTTTTAACAGACATTTTAATTTGAATACAATGTGTGAATATTTCCATTCCTTCTTTTCTAACAAATGGCTAAATTAGCTTGATGACCTGTAACACATTCATTTTTGAAAACACTCGGTGATGTCTACATGGGCTGCCACATGGAAGCAAAAGACAGGGAGGTTCAAGTTAATTTTATCTTTTCAAAAGTAGCCGGTCCAGTTTTAGTTTAAACTTTTTCTCCTCAGTTTATTTTTATCTAAACGACCCATTTTTTTATACCTGCTCAGTAACAGGCTCTTAAATTGGATCTAGATTTGCACTCCTAAGTAAACCTTTAATGCATGCTCCCCTGTGCTTATCTAATAATGAGGTTGGACAGGAATAATGACGACTAGAATTGCAACGTGTAAGGCATTCATTAACATCAGTAATCAGCAATCTTGTGTGGAAGCTTTATGCCTACGGTTGATCAGCCCTTTATTGTTCGGCATCGAGATAGCTTGTATTCAAGCAGGAATGAATCCATTAAGAAAGGCCATCAGGTGAGGTTTCCATGGCAGCAGTCGGCCCTTTGCTGCTCCTGTTTGTGGTATAGACAATGCAGGAATAGTCAGCATGTCACTGCTCAGTGGAGAGAAGGCTAATACTACTCCATCCCAATGTAGTGAGCAGCATGGTACAGCTCATTTAAGGAAGATCAGGTGGGTTTGTGACCATTGTCTCCCAAGCGGCGCTTGGTACCTCTTGTGCTCAAAGCATGAGTTCCTGCAGCGTGGCTGCACCAGGGGCAGGCATACAACAGCTATGCTGAACACATGAGCAGTGTCACCAAGCAATGAATGGAATGGGCTCCTATGCTGGGCAGCAGAGAACAGAGTTCATGAGCTGTACTCAAGGACTCTGAACTAACCAGAGATCTCTGACATTCGGGACCTCATCAGTGACTTATTGGTTGGAGTCGCTGATGAGCATAAAGGCATTCTAGTAAATGCCACTTGGGTCATGAAGTTGCCTACTCAGGTGCAGTTTAGAAGATCCCTTGAAAAGTCCCTCTATGAAGGTGCTTTATAGTGCTGGACAGTTTCATCACACAGAGAAAATAAGTGAAAAAGAAGCACTGGCTTTTTTCAAGCTCTTTCCTTGGAGCTTGTTTTTCATGGAATCATCATGAAAGCAAAAAACTGAAAAACATTAGGCAATACTAGACACTCCATGCTAAGCCAGCCTGGGAGTAGAGGACATCCCGTTACCTTCTACCCAACTGTCCTGTCTTTTTCTTTGATCAAGAGGAACATGGTATCCCCTGTTACCATGGGTTACACAGGAACCATTTATTTTTTCAGATACCTTTATCTTGTCAGGTTAATTCTGTCACGGAAGAATGTTATGGAAAATAACTGTAAAGTACAGAGATCATTTTCCATATGTGAACTCATTTGGAGAAAGCATTTTTAATCTGCATTTAGATCATGCAGATTAATTTACTGACACATGTAAATTCCTAAATGAAGTGTCCAACTGTTAAGGGTTTGGCTGTAATAAAAGCTTTTCTAAGGAGGAGGGAAGCTATGACAACCATGTACATTTCCAGGGTGATGGAGAATCGTTAAACAGGGATTCTGTACTCTCTGTGTGACAGGCATTTTATGGTAACAGTTTTGGGTGGATTTCTGTGTCTCTGCCCTTCAGGAGCCTATGACTATTGATCTAGTAATCAAAAGCCTTCCTTAAACAGAAGTATCAGCAAGTGAACCAAATCATACGGACATGGAAAACCCCAACAGTAATAGTCCGTGCAGCAGCTGAGTCTTCTGTAGCTGTGCTTCACCAGGAGCTTCTCTGTCAAGTTGCTGGGTCAGAAAGGAAGAGATGTACATTCTTGAAGAGAGCCTAGCACCTCACGGGCCCCAGCTTATCTACTCTGAGCACTTTTCCTGGTTACCCTCTGTGATGTTTGCTCAGTTGTTTGGCAGCATTTGCCTTTCTTAGCTTCCACCTACTGGAATGTGTGGACTCACTCTGCTCGCTCTGACTTCACCACTCATCACATCAGATCTCAATGCAAAAACTATCCCTTCAGAGGGTACACGTGTCCACTGCTGTCACACACAGCAAAACCACGTACCTGGAGTGCTTTGTCAGGATGCACTGTAGTAAAGCTGTCTCTTGGGTTGGTGTACCAACAATCTCCACTGTAGCTGAATGCTAAAATTCTCTGTCACCAGCAAACCATCATCATTTCTTTTCCTTGATTGTATATTGAGTGTGGAGCTGGGCAGAATTTCACTGATGAGGTGGTTTCTTTATTTTTAAAGTGTTTATCCTATCTAGAGAAAAATTATTACATCCCAAATAATACTAGGTAACTGAAAGAAAAGGAGGAGCAACCTAAAATGCAGGTGTTGAAGAAATTATTCTCTCAAAGAGAAGCTGAGCCATGTGTTTCTGGCAAACCCAAAAACTGTCACATTTGCCAGGTATAGCAAGAAGCAGCAAAAACACACAAACATGTACAAAATGAAAGAAAGATGCTGCAGAAAGCAGGGAGTTGGGCTGTGGAGGAGAGATTGAGAACCCCAAATGCTCTTTGGATAAAGAAATTGCTTGAAACAGAGGGTGCTGCAAGAAACAGGGGTGTGTATTTCTCATAAATATAAATGCAGCAAGTAAATACCTGCCTACATCAGAACATGACAATTGGCCAACTGCTCATACTAAATTTAAGACAAAGCAGTAAGAATGTGGGAAATCAGTCCTACTTTCATCATTTGTGATGTCTGTTCTGAGTGGATGTCATCCAGGTGCTCCAGTTCAGTTCCAACTTGCAGTCCTTTCAAATAATTGTTTTTCAGGTTACAGTAGCTAAGCCTATAGCCCAAGGTACTTTTGAAAAACAGGGCTGTGAAATAACAGTACTTGTTATTTCTGTTTTGTTTCAGGGTGTGCTGGATTCACCACGTTACAGGAGTGTGGGTGTACCCGCTTCTTGAGCACCTCAGCCCAGGTGTCAAAATAATCTTTTTTGCAGCTGTTACTGTAATAATTAACGTATTCTACTTGGTGGGAGAGGTCCTGAACAACTACATATGGGATACCCAAAAATGTGAGTATTGTTTTAAGAATGAAATACACTGTTGGGACTTGAGCATGCTCCCCTGAAAGTTGAGAAGGTTTTAAGCTGCTAAAACAATGGAGAATGACAGAAGTTCCACCGAGATGTCTTGCTTGCCTGCTCTTAAAAGCAGCTGGATGAACGGAATGGCTGCTGGAGAGAATGATGATCTATGAATATGGGGGGGGGGCACGGTGGTGGTGTTATAACTTTCAATACTAATTCAAGAGCTGTTGGCAATTAACTGAAAGGTTTACAACCGGCTTATTAGCAGATGAACCTAGATGCAGCTAGAATAAAGTATCATTCTGTGGGAATGCTGTTAACAGTAAGCTTAGACTTAGAAATATATTCTTCTAGTATTTTCAGGTATAAGGTGTCTTCTGCTTATAAATTTACTTAAGGAAAATGAATATATTCATGTCAGTAAAGTAATAGGAATGAAATATCACCTTAGTGCAGGGTAAACATAACTGTGCAGACTCTACATCATCTACCCTGCCTAGGCCACCCATTGCTGAGTAGAGAAAAAGGGAAAATAAGACAAAGACAAGATTAAAAGTAGGCTCCTTTAATTATGAAATATGTTTTTCATTTATCAAATTGCCTTAAATAAGCAAACAGCATTCATAATCGCTGCAGTGGAAAATCACAACTGGAGTGAAATCCATGCTCCATGGGAATTCTGTCATTACATTGTTGGGTCCATAACACGTTTGGACCATATGAATAGCCTGTATGCCCTTGTGGGAGAATTAGTGTGTGCTGTTTAATACACCATAAATTCACATGGTAGTTTATTACACACACAAATCTCCTTAGTCCTCCGATACTAGGTATAACCTAATGCCAGAAGCTCAAAGCAGTTTTATTTGTCATTTGCTCATATTAGCACCCAGGTATAAAGTGTCTTTTTGGTTTTGCTCTAGAACCAGCAATCACAGTCACAGTGTTCAAGTCTAGTTTTCAGTCCTCAGTTTGATGTCACATTCACATCTATTTAACTTATTTAATTCAGGAAAGAAGTTTCTAAAAACGTCAGCCACAAGGAATAATGTCATTTGACCTAAGTCCTGTATGAAAAATAATAATGTGGTAAAGAATCACAGGTTCTCACAAAGTCCATGAATAAGTAAATGGTGGAAAATCTCCCACAGTATTCCACAGTAGACATAACAAAACCCCTGGTTCTTGTGACCCTTCACCTTAGAGGAGTAAATGTCAATCTGGTCATTCTTCCAGCCTCTTCCAAGGTTCACCATGGCCTTATTATCCCTTCCATCATTTCCTTGATATGGTTAAAGAATATTGATCCAAAGTCCTTTGTGGCTCAAGCACTTGCAAACCAGAAAATGCTGTGAATCATCTGCTGGTTTGCTGTGCTTGAAACACTTTGTATAAACCTAACCTGAAGCATATGGCAGGCACACCACAAACAGCAGAGGTGTAAAATAATGCCAGTCTGTCACCATGTGGGACCCAGGAAAATATTATTTGAAAACTGTATATTTAAAAGAGTCTTTTGATCAGTAAGCTTGCAAATCAAAGCAGTCTGCCACCAGAAGATTTCTGGGGTGAGAGGGGGTTGTTTTGGGTTTGGAGTTTTTTCCTTTTCCTCTGGAGATGAATTAATAAAACCTCACTACTGACAAAATGATTTGCAGTTAGTTTTTCCAAGTTAAACCACAAACATGGTAGGCAAGGAAAAATTTGCCCTTTGTACAAGCCAGTGTCTGTCCACAGTTTTGAGGGTAGATCTGCATTCCTGCCAAACTATTTGATGCATCCACAGTAGAGTGCTTCGGAAGAAGGGAAAGACACTCTTTTAAAAAGGCAAATAAAACAGCTCATTTAAAACTACTGGAAAAGTTCCTTCTAGCAGAAAGCAGAAGACACAGGATTGGCTCTGGAGCAGCCTTGTAAACCCACTGTAATCTTTTGGACCTGGCCTCTTGTTTTGGTTGTTAAACCTTCAACTGTGGCTCTTCCATTACATCGGTTTGCCAGCAACACCCAGGGCCATTGTACTTGAGCTGCTGGCAGTGCACAGACCCGTTTGTTTCCATGTTGCTTCTTTCAGCAAGGCAGCTCTGCAGTTGTGCTTTCTAACTGCAGATGGGTCTTATTGTTTCCCATACTGGAATTAATTAACTGTGTTCTGAAAGTGACTTTCGGCGTACCTACCATCTACGCATATATTGCATTAGCAGGTGATCTTACTTGTGACTGAATTTTCCTCTCAGCATTCTCAAATATTGCTTCTCTTTTGCCTTCAGTCCTCAGAAGTCTTTCTTTTCCAGCATGCAGGAGGCCTGAAAACCTCCAAAAGAAATATTTGTATTTGAGATGTCTGGCAGAGAGGGCTTAGTCAGAAGAACAATACTTTTGTCAGATACCAATAGTAATTCATTGTCCAGGAACAGGCATATGAAATAGCTGAATGTTTTCATTGCCAGAAAAAACACAATCTGCTGCCCGGCCCAGACTTTGCTCAGCATAGAAAAGAGACAAGTCCTGCAGCAAGGATAATTTCTTTGAGGAGCCCTACGCTCAGCTCAGCCCTCCTGATACTACTGAAAGACATGGCCATTACAAGAAGAGAAAGGCACCCTATTAACAGTAATTGATTCTTCATCCTTGTACTCTCAAAAAAGGGAGACGTACTTGCAAATGTTTAAAAACCCAATGTTCAAATAGAAGGGGGGTTAAAGTTATTGAATTCTGAAACAGAATTTTTAAAACTTGCTTTCAAATAAAGTCAGCTGCTTAGCTTCAGCTATAATAACATCTACTTTAATTTGCTTGTAGGTAAGCAGAGGAGGTGAGGGAAATAACTGTTCTCAGACCCCTGCAGCCGTCAAAGGCTGAGCGTGCGGCAGGGGGTTAGGCTGATTTGAAAATGGTGCGGAGGGAGGGAGGATTGTGCAGTTCATTACTGGACAACCACTGCCATCAGGTGTGCAGATGTTCTTTTCGTTCACAGCAGGTGAGGTAACACATGCAAGAGCATGTGAGCAAGTAGGGGAGAAACAACAGCAATAAAGGGAAAAGAAAGATTAATGCATTAGAAGAACCTCTCTAAGTAAACTCTTCATTTTTATTAATTGAGAGATTTTTAAAAGCTTTTCTCCATATGTTTTCAGGTATTGAAGAAGGAAAAGAAAAGCCAAAATTGGACTGAACAACAGAGGCAACATGGAGGATTATTTATGATTCCATGGAAGATTTCTCATCCCCAACAGGGGTTGGCATGGAGAGGAATCTTTTGGAAAGGAGGAAGTTTAATGGGCCCTCTGCTCAGTGCAAGGATATTTTGGGGGTTTATATGGAGGGAAAATGATTTTAGCTAAGAATAATAATAATAATAATGTTTCAACCTCCGTTCCTATTTCTCCATTCTTGCATGTGACATACACATATAAGATGTATATTTATCTCCACGGCATTCTCAACATGCATTTCTTGCATCAAATAAGTCATTAAATCATTAAGTCATTAAATCTTTTCACTTCCGTCAAGAACAATGAGCCCATTCTCTGTATTGTTTGAGAAAAACTTAACCAGATAGGTCTAATATGGGGAAACAAAACAATCCTATATATTTCAAAGTACAGTGTAAAAATACAGTAGAAGTTAATTGCATGAATGTATCCAAAGAAGAATACAATCTGGCTGAAATATTAATGTAACACTATGTAACAGCTGCCTTAAATTGCTGATGTTAATAATTTTATCAGTCCAGTAAAATCTTACTTGCAGTGTTAGACTATCTGAATATGATGCAACTTTTCTTAAAAAGGCCTAAATAAAGATCATATTATCCCTACGTTTCTGTTTCTTCATGCTGAGTCTTGAAATTCTAGATGGATTGATGGCATTTGAATGATATTCCAACAGCAGCAGCAGCGGTGACAGACGTCACATTGTGACAGATTATCAACTGTGGCTTAGGGTGGGAAGCCCATAGCACAAACCCTGTTGACTTGTCATTTGAAGGACTTGCATAACTCATGCTCTGCTGTAAAGTCTAGGACATTTTTGCAATTTTTTTATTTCACAGGGATTGTTTCCTTCACTGAATTCAAGAATTCATTCTGATGGAAAGAATCTGTTAAATAAAAATAAGAAATGCCAGAATGCCACACAGCTGTACACATTCTGCTAGAGCACACTCTGAATGTCTCTGCTGTATTTATTGCACTACTGAATGGCTGAGACCTCAAAAACTGGCTGTTGATGGAAAGATTCCTCTTTCTCAGCAAGTTTTGCACCTGCTCAAGATAATTTTTCTTCTTTCTTCTTCTAATACCATGCCATTTTAGGTGATACTGGAAATGTATCAAGAATATAAAGAGAGCAGAAACATAAGAGATCAAAATTGCATAGCTGATTCCATAGGTAGGCGTCCAAGTGAAAGAAGATGCCCTTTCAGAGGTACAGCATAGAGACACTTAAAATTGTCATTCCCCATATCTGTGAATCTGTGAATATTCAGCACCTCAAAAAAATAGACTACCAAGCTTAGATCTCAGCTAAGCCCCTTGGTTTGACAATGTTACCCAAAGGCAATACGTACATGACAAAAAAATGTGGTGAGTTTTAATTGGTTTGAGGAAATTTATAGTATTCCAAGAAGGTTTGAACTCAAGTTGTCTTCTCAGATCTCAAAAAGTTCTCCACCCCCTATGAGCTTTGAATTATCGTATTTAAAGTCAAAAACATTTTAGAGCATTAAATCCAGCCTATGATGTATGAACCATGATATAAATAACTTAGAGGCCTGTGTACCCAGAGAACGCTCTTCTAGACTGTGTTCATTCCCTTTAGAATTACACAATCTATCATTCTTAAGAAAGATGATGGATGTATGATGACTAAAGTAAAAGTGACTTGTAAGCTTGCCAAATTTCAACCATCTTGGCTGAAATTGTCCCTGAAAGGTATTTCTCTTGGGGGAACTATTTTTTTTTGGTGGAAAACTTTTTGTCAGAACGAGTCATCTATTTCCAAGTGCAAGGCTGTGAAAAAAAAAAAAAATCATCTGGAAAACTTTTCTCTACTTTTCTCTTGCTGTGAAACTGGGTCTTTGGAAGAAGGATAGCATTTGTTAGTAACACTTCTGAATTTATGGGGAAAATCTATTTGTCTTTGTCCAAGTTGTAGAAAAATTATGCCTGCACTTCCCTGTAGTGCACAGGTAATTCTCCAGTGTTTATCAACATCAGGAATGATCCATCTTGTGGCTCAACAGGATTTTCCCTACTGTCCCTGATCTGTTGACCTTCTCAGGCCTGACTTTCCAAGGCACACACCAGAATGGGGACCCCAACTTTGGTTCCCATGTGTTGTCAATACTTCTCCAAAGCTGATGCAAATAAAGCTGCCTAGACCGAATATGAAGGAAGCAAAGCTCTGATGAAAACCTGAGCAGTAAGAATAGGTTCTAGATGGATAAACTAAGTGAAAAAACCTCTATCTTTTCCATAATAAAATTAAATTAATAATGTTTGTTGAGTATGTCATAGCTGTAATGATAAACCACATAGAAAACTCTGAAGGAATCATTAGTTTTGTTGTCAGAGAAGAATATAGCGTGCAGTACATAAGGCAGGCTGCCACACCTTGAACCACAAGGAAAAACAAAATACAGTTTCATCATTCACTGAGCACCATCCATCATGTGTTATGAATGAGGCATAGAAAAAAATATTGTGTGATCATGTAATTAAAGTCAGTATCATAATTCATACTCACAAGGGGCCAAATTAAGGTTGAACAGACAGCCTTAATTCTATTACCTCACTCTTGAATGCCCAACTCTGCAATTTTAATATTACTCTTTTGACTTAGTATAGAACACAAAAAAGTGGGGATTTATTTTTTTTTAAAGGCTGGTTAGAAAGTCTAGCCACAGATTTGCTGTGAATTTCAGTATGACTGTATCTCCAGTCTGGCTTTAGAAAACACATCCTCACTTTCTGCTTGCATTTAGTTACCCCAAAACATATATGCACAGTTTCCCTATCACTCTGTTACAAAGAGGTTGCCATAATTTGCAAACTTTTGCCACAATTTTAAAATCAAATTATTTTAGTCTGTGATTTAGCTTATGTATGATAAAAGCATAATTTTCTGTCTCTGTAGCAACCATTGCCTTATTTTAAAAGAAAGCAACAAATAGTATCTCTAATTTTAAGTTGATTCTTTTTTTTCTCTGCCCATATGATTAATAATAGCTAAATTACCACCAGTGCTCCAGTGAGCAGACTGAAAAATGGCTAACCATTCTGCAGGCTCCCACGTGGCAGTTTGTAATGACTGTATAAGGCATACACCTCTTAGTTCATTTTTCCCGTTGAATTTGCTATTCAAAGACTATTTCAAATCCAAACAACAGTTTCTTCTTTGCCTTTTATTTTCTATAAAGATTGGGCAGTCTTCAGGGCTCTGATAGACACTTTGGTAGCCTTTGAAGACTCAGATACTGTTAGACTGAACACTGAAAGGATTTATAATCTAAAACTTGAGTTAAAAGTACAGTCCTGAAAATACCATCAACCCGAGGTTAGCATCACTGAGGTGGGTTTGGTGTTCCTGCCCTGGGAGTAAAGGAGCAAGCAGTAGGAGATGTGTAGGTGAGGTCACCTCTGAATGCAGCCTTGGAGAAATTGTGCTACTAATCCTGTCTTTTAATGCTCCCGTCTTTCATGTGAACAGGGGCAAATGTTGATGACAGGTATTCACCAGCAGCACCAGCAAAAGAAAGCTCCTAATCAAAGCCTAGTGTATCCTAGTAGAAGAGGTAATCTCTGCTGGCGTATCCCAACTTCTCTGCTCTGCTCCTGCGGTCCAAAGCTTCACGTGCCACTGTAGCCAGCCACTTAAACTGGGCTCACAGGTGTTGCAGGGAAGAAAAGAAACCTGAGAGTTTTGTTAGATATTTGGGCCATTATGTTTGGCCAACATGTCTGCATATGTTGTAAAAGTGCAGTTGTCTTTGACGTGTCTGACTACAGTATTAAACCCGGGGTTTGACTATTGCAGAAGTCTCAGGGGAAAAAAGGCAGTTGCAGGTTTGACTGGTCAACTTTCTCCAGTGGCGATGTCTCCTCTTTTTGAAGCAAGAAGGACAAAGGGGAAATGAAATTAGCCTGGAAAGAAAAAGATACATCTGTTGGCATCTGTTTAGAAAAGTACTTAGGTTCATGCTGAACTTTAAGCACACACACAGGTGCTTTTCAGCACAGGGGCTTGCTGAATGAGGGAGCAAGTAGACTTGCAGATGGGACACTTTCTGTGGTGCTTCTAATGACGTCATGAACTGAAAGAGCTTTTTGTGCTTAGAGTGAAAATAGGTCTTTTGAGCATAGTGACTTCCTCTTACTTGTATTATTAAGTAACTGTAAGAACAGAACTGTCCAATTTACAGACCATAAACATCAAATATATTTAAAGCATATTCTCCAAAATAAGCAATTTTATTTTTATCAAAAATGCACTCTGTTTTGTTCAAGTAACAGATGGAAATCAATGGATTTTAATGTAAACCAGAAGAGCAAGTTGTAGTCTTATTCCCTTAAGTGCCCTTTTCTTGTTCAGACCACAGCTGTAAAGGGATTTGAACCTCAACACAGTAAATGCCAGTATGGAAATTTGAAAGGTAGACCACAGACTTCGTGGCCCACCGAAGGAGGTATCTGCTGTTCCTTAGGGTTGTGTAAAATGAGACAGAAGTAAAATAGCATCTTTTTCATATAATTTGTATTGTAGCTACTCATGGTGTCCAAGTTCAGCATTTTATATATAGCTTGTGTATTAAAAAGTAAACATCTACCATTAGGCTGGAGAAGTATCTCCACAGTGTGCATTCTAAATATAGAGATTTCTATGATACAGTCAGTACTAGGACATTATATCTCTTTGCTTTTTTAATATGCAGATAGTCCATACTGTATGTATATTGTGCACATAAAAGTTAAACACACATATGCATACAGATAGATATATATATACACACACACACACATGATCTGTAGAAACAAATAACGACAGTCAGATGTTAAATGGCAGTTACTAGCTTAACATGGAAAGAGATCAGGCAGTGTGAAAGGTGTCATTCTTGGCATGGACAGTAACTCCACCATAACTACAAACTGGCAGTTCTTTTGTTCTCCCACTTTTCCCCTGGGAGTAAGGCTGGTGAGCTGCCAGCCACCCTGCCTGTAGCAATAGGGGTGATCTGCGGCTGCAGTACTCTGCAGTACTGCATTTCTGGTGTTTAATTTTGCAGGCAGATCAGTGCCTGGTTAGCTTTTTCTACATATTATCACCTTGCTTATTTTCTATGTACAATAAAATAAATTGTTCTTGCTTAAT